AGCAGCAGTGGCTCAGGGTTTGAAGACATCTTAGAGCAAACAGTGGCAACATGGGCAGTAACATGTAGTTAGTAGTTAGAGCCTGGAGAACGTGGCTGGGGTGACCTTGTTGGTCAGTGAAAGGATGGCAGGTGGAGAAGTTCCAGGAGAACTGATACATTGGGGCAGCTGTCTGGCACGTGTAATGAATTATTAACACATGTTTATTACATGCTGTTGCAGAACAGCTTCTGGGCCAGTTCCTAAAATTTATTGAGAGCCTATTTTAATTTTGCCTAGGCTGCTAATTGTGCTTAATCAGAAAAGAAAATACAACTCATAATACAGCATTCTTAGAGGAAATGAATCCTCCTCATTTGTATGAAATGGATAAAAATGAAAACCAAAAATTGCATCTACTGTTTGCCCCATTACTGTCATTCCTGATTCCAAGACTTTTTATAGTCTAAATATTCTTTCCCAGGGTGGATACATCTATCAAATGGATGCAATATAATGACAGCTACTGGACAAGAATACAGCATCCTGGGCATAAAATTCCCAAGACTCCTTACCAGGCAAATTATGAGGGAGGAAGAATTAAAACAATTTCTGAAGAAGATATTTAGCACTTACTTCCTGTTGCCATGCACTGGACACAGTTTTAAGCCCATTAAATGGGGTAACCCTCTCCATCCTTAGAACACATTTTTCATGTCTTTGGTATTAATAAAAATAATATTATTCCATTTTACAGATATGGAAGCACAGAGATGTTAAGTTACTTGCCCAGATGGCAGAGCCAGGGAGTTGAGCACCATTGTCATTTTTGTAATAACTGGATTATGCTGTTCCTGAGATGGGCATGGCCGCAATTTCAATACTTGAGTGGGCTCATTTGTTCGTTTTTGCTCCTACCTCTGTCCACCAGAAGCAAGGTTGCTGGTCCATTTCCTGATGTAACTACATCAGAAACAGAGTGTATCTCTGATTTCTTCATAAATTTCAATTGCAGAACGAGTTTAATTTCTCTTAATACAACTGTTTTCTTTCAAGAGAAGTTTAATAAGTCATATCATTCTATGTCAAGGGTTGGCAAACTATGGCCGATGGACCAAATTCTGCCATTGTTTGGTTTTCTGAGCCAAGGTTTTTGTTTTGTTTTGGCTTGCAACACAGCTACATTCATTCACAACCACATAATGTCTATAGCTGCTTTTGTGCTACCGTGGCAGACTTGGACAGTGGTGACAGAGCCTGTGTGGCCTGTAAAAATATTTACTCCCTAGCCATTACAAAAAAAAACTGCCAACCCCTGTTTTGTCCCTGGTTGTTAAAGTAAACCAAGGGTTAAATTATCTTTGATTTAAGCTATGTTTTGAGTAAACCCTTGAAATCTACACCATTTTGTTTTTGCTTACTTACTCACAGAATAATTTCCTAAAATAAGGTGTCAATACCTATTAATTTTTCATTATGACCATCCAAGTTGGGTAACTCACCAACAGAACCTTACAAACAATTCTAAAAAAGCTTACTTTAGGCAAGGCACTGGTGAAAGTACCCAGGAGGTGGGTGGAAGAGAGATGTAAAACACAATTTCAGATTAGGAGGTGTTCCTTAGTTAGTGAAGAGACATAAGCACAGATTTCTAGTGTAATGCATTTACTCAACCCAGTTCTTAATTTATACTCATTATAAGACCTACCACAGTCAGCTTTCTACAGAATTATATACATATTATCTCTCCTCTAAATGGTGGCAATGGGTATAGATAATTTCTTATTCATCTTTGTACAAAGCTCACAGTGCCTAGCAGAGTGTGATGCACTTTCTAGGCACTCAGTTAAAATTTATTGAATTTGACCTCCCTGTCATTAAAAAAAAGATACAATGAACAGCAATCTCTGCGGCGCAAGCTCATAGCTATCACTGGGAGCTATTAAGGAGGGACAAAGATATTTTATAGTGCACATTGTAAAATAGATGAAAACAGAGCACACTTTCTTCTCTAAGAAAAGAAGATGTTTTTTAATACGCTGTAAGGAAATACTGTGGGATCTCATTGGCTTTGGCATAGTAAGTATCTAACGAAGATATGGTGTATTCTACTGGGAATCATTTTATAGAGAAAGACAGATGTTATGATTCTTTAGGTTTCATTTGTTTTCTTCAGCAATATCAGAAATCTCTTCTTTTGGTCTTCCCTCAATGCACAAAAAAGGAGGCCTTAGTGATCCTTCTTGTTCTTTCAATTTCTAACCAGGAATAAATACCTAAGACTAGTCCTTCTTTTACTTTCCTTCTTAAACACAAATATTAAGTAATATGAAGATTGCTTCTGAATCTTGTTCTCTCCCTGGTGTTGCTCATGTAATTTGCCTCCTGCAACTTGGTCAGATGTCTGCTCCTAATTCTCAAAGATCACATACTTCCAAAGGGCATGCTTATTTCTTTTCAAAGAAGCAGCACAGAATGGATTCAACTGCATAGTAATATATCCCATGACGAAACCTCCCGATTGATAGCACTTGCCGAATGGAGCTCATTTTCTGAAAGTGCACCTAAAGAGTTTTGTGTGGTCTCATCCCTTCTCCCGTGACCTATTAGTAGCTCCTTTGACGGGGTTCCAGAATTCTGAATTGGTTCAGTGGCAGAATCACAAAGCTTTCTTTTCATCTTGACTGCTGTTCTCAGAGCTGTTTCTCCCCCACAGAGAGTTCTTTTTTAAACTATCCTTTCTAAGGATTTTTACTGTAACCCCATAAGGATTCCAGTTTTATCTTTCTTTTGTTCCTTTTCAACATCAATTAGTTGGTGAGGCAAACTGAGAAAAGATAAATCTACAGTTTTGAACTAGGAATATAATTCAAAGCTGACATTGGCTTATCAACCTGATATTTCTCTATACTTTTCCCTTTAAAACTGGATGATATAAAACACAAGTGTTCAATAAATGTTTGTTGAATGGAATTGAATTTTTACTGAAATGTCTGGGAATGAAATGACAAAACTAAAAAACAAACAAACAAAAAACCAAACAAAAATCAACCCCTAGTCTCTAAAATGAAACATCTGTTTTAATTTCTTCACTATTCTTAATTGCTCCTACATGTAATATACTGATTTCAAAGGAAAGAAAATTAGCCTTTAAGTCAAGTTGCGGGACACCTTTTAAACTACGGGTGTTTAACTGAATCACAAAAATCTTCGTGTTCATCTGTTGTGAGGCTTTTATGAGGTTGATAAATTCAAAGAGGACTGAAAGCAAGACCCCATGAAACATTCTGCTGAGGTATTCCCAACATTGTAGGATTAAATTACCACTTTACAAATGAACGAAAAGAATGCTTTACAGACAAAAACATTTTCTACATTCACAGGCTATGAAACTCCCTTGAGTGAATAGTTTTCATGTATCCAATGCTGGGACAACAATTATGTAAGACAAAGATAGAAACTGATAATCATTACAACGGCACTGTTTCTTTTACTAATAACTTCTAGTTTGATTTATTTCGGTAGGTCATTGGATGCAAAAGGCAAAAACAACCCTATGGCACTAACATCAGCTTGGGTTTATTGGTTTAAATTAAAGTACCAACTTGGACAGGGTGTACATATGCTTGGCATGTATTTTTATGGTGTTCAAAAAGAGCACATTGAATGGAAGTACAGATATGAGCCAGGAGCATGAGCCAGAGGACGAGAATTCCCAGAGGTTGGCTGCTTCTTTGGCGATGAGCTGTTTTTAGTTGATAAAAACATACTTTCTATGAGGAAACACCTTCTTATTCTTATGTAACTTAAAAAATGGCAAAGCCAGAAAAATCACTTTGCTTTGTGACTTTAAATTATTATGTTTGTACCTTTTGTTCTCTGTTTGTTTTGTTTCCTTTCCCCTGCAATGTATGATTACCTCCAAATTTCATGGTCATCCACCACAACTTAGGTTTTGTACATAAAAAAATTTTTTTCCTTTTCTTCTTTTCTCTCTCTCTTTAAATATAAATAAATCAGACACTCTAAAGCCATTATTTAAACCTGGGTGTTTACACTACTAGGAAATAAATAGAAATAGAACTACACTCCTGGTCTAATTCTGACATTAGTTTCTTTCTAAAATATAATATTAACTTTCAGTTCTAATGTTCAAAACTTCTAATTGCACTTAGTTTTCCAAAAATGTTTCTTTAAAGCGTTTTACTTATAGACAAATAATATAAAGGTTTAAATATTTTTACAAAGTACAGATGATGAATCAGTTTTGCAAAATATTTCAAAGTAGAGGAGAAAAACTTTTCAAAATAATGAGTTGCTCTAGAGTGTATAATCTATTCAAGTACTGAAGACATTATATATCCAATATAGGGAATTGTTAAAACTAGGGTACATTCAGTTCAAGAGAAATAAAACAATTGTCAGATTTGGAATACAGCATTTAATCTACTTTAGTGATGTTTAGCTATAAAAGCAGAGAATTCTGCAAATTCTGATTATAGGAATCCTTGTGAGGACATTGCATAATGTAGAGAACTCTGGATATAGAGGCATTTCCTTAAATACTGTTAATACTACTCTTTTTCAAGCCAGCTAGGATAATGCTAAAAGAGTGTTAGGATTATTCCCAATTATCAAATGAATCCCAGCTTTGGAAAACCTTCTTCCAAGTTACCAAGTATTGAATTCAATTCATATTTAGTGGTTTATATTACAAAAATATGCTCTCAAACATTTGCAGCATTTATGTTTTACTGCTATAGCCATATGCCATCAAACTCATATGCTTGCTCTATTCTTCGTTGCTGGTTCAGAGCCTGTTTGTAAGTCATGTTCCATTGAATGACTCCTAAATTAAAGAAACTTCTAAAGAAAACTAGAAAGAACTATTTCTTTTTAGTAATGCTTCATGTACAAAGCTAGAAAAGTTTTCCCACAATATTTAAATGAATAATTCATTGCTTCAATAGGTTAACATTTCAGAAAAAAACCTGACATATAGGAAGTCAAACATTTAATACTTACTGTAGAGAATAGTTCCATTCAAAGTGCTTGTTTTTATAGTCAAGTAGATGGTAACAGTTCTGTTACGTTCCTTCTCTGGCACAAATTTCAACTCATCCAGGGTTGTAAAAAAAGGCAGTTCTATATAGGAATTCCCGTTGAAAGATGGAAATAATAAACCTGCATCTAAAAAAAGCCCCTGCATGTTAGTGTGTTCTGATAGCATCCTATCACTAATCAACTAGGTAAGGACATGGCATTTACAGTTAGCATTCATTTAAGATGGCACTGATACTATAAACACTAGTCCCAGTATTAAGAAATTTAGATATGTAAATACATTAAATTTGAAAAGTTGTTGTCTCAAATAATCAACCCCCAGTCCAGAGGAAAAGACTCAAAGCAAGGATTTTAATTTGTTGTTCACGGATGGACAACAACAAAAAAATCTGTGTCCCTGCATATATGAAATAATAATTTTCATCAGATTCTTAAATTATTCTGATATGAATGGCTATACATCAAATCGTATATTTAAAATCATTAATTTTATTTGATATAACTACACCTCAATAAAAAGTAAAAAAGAAATCTGTGACACAAAAAGATTAGAAAATTGTCACACAGCAAGGTTTTCTATTTAATATTTACTGCTTTCTAATAATATTTAGATAAGGTATTTTATAAATGGTAGTATTATAATATGTAAATTTTGTAGAATTATTAATCTTTTAAATGATTAATCTCAAAATACTGAGGTATATAAAACTTGAAAAGTGCTTATTCTATTGTCATATACTCATATTTAGATCTATAGACTTGGTACACTGACAAGTGTAACATGGAAAGTGGAAATGCAACTTAATATTCTGTCTCTTTCACAACAGGGGAAACATCCTCTGGCTCTCCATGAAAACTTGGCAGTTCCTATGAGTCCTGCCTTTTTTCTGAGTTACCATTATAATGATGGCAGCAACTAATATCCAGTCTGAGAAATTTATCAATACTTAAATCTTCTTTCAGAGATAAGACTTGGCCTACCCTCCTCCACCAGCCAAGACCTATAAGGCATCTGACACTTCTATCTGCCTTGAGGGACAGGAGGAAGCTGATTTCTGTTTTTTCTTGTCTAACCACCTCCCATTCATGTTAGCTGCTGTTTCTGACCTTTTTGGCTTTGAATGTTGAGGAGGTGAGGAGAGTGGAAAGGAGAGAGAAGTACACAGTAAAGGAGAGCTGAAAGAACTGGCGATTGAAGCTGTTACAAGAGGCTCTCATTCTCTAGGAATAGCAGATGTTTAAAACTCTTTCTCTTGTGCTAGAAATGTCAGATAAAATACAACACATTCAGTGTAATTTCAATTTCAGATCAACAATAATTTTTTAGTGTAAGTGTGTACCAAGCATTTCATGAAATATACTAGAACAATTATTTATTTGAAATTCAAATTTAACTGAGTGTCTTCTATTTTTAGTTCTTAAATCTGGCAACCCTCTGACTCACAATCATTTGTACATTCTTTAGAAATCCTTTGCCAATTACAACTCCTAGGATTTGTGCAATGGCCTGCCTTTGGCTTGTCACTTCTAACTTGGTCCCATATTGATTTTTCACTGTAGCAGAGACTCCTGCTGTTGACAACCACTTGCCTGTGTCAAAGTAAAAGCTGCATTGGACAAAGTTAACCAGACAAAGACTTTATCAAGGGCTATGGCAATAAAGGAGAGAGGCCAGAATTCAGTCTTTGCTTAACAAAACAAAGAGTGTAATGAAAAGTGAAAAGAAGAATCGTAGAATTTTTAAGAGCTGAGGTGGGGGACCACAAACTACCTGTGTTTGCTAATTGGCCTTACCCCCTAAAAAACATTGTTTTTCATATCTTCATCACAGAAGGTAGTTTACAACTTGGAGCAAAGGCACTCTTAAAGTTTGGTTCGTACCCTCCCACAAAACTGGGAGATGGGGCCACTATCATTTTTGATGCTAACATGGTGAAGAGATGGTTCTAGGTCCTAAAGAAAGATATTCCTGCGTTGTAAAACTAAGATTTACATCTCAGAGGAGGCAAAGAAAGAATTTACAAGTGTAAGTTTTCTAAAGTAAATGCTCTAAGAAAAGTGAGGTCTGGGGCCTAAAGTCAGTAAGAGCCTGTCTAAAATTTAGTCAAACTGAGGGGAATGTTAAGGCTGCCTTGGTCACCTGACTAGAAAAACCACTTGGGTAAAACATAAAAATGACCCTAGACCGAATTTCTTTCCTAAAGGGGTCTACACCTAGTCCCTGGAAAACATTCCTGTATTTCCTGCCCTACTTTCTGTGAGGGTATAGATTGTTTTTAGTCTTCTCTCTCTGCCTCTGCCTACACACACACACACACACACACACACACACACACAGAAGCTACTTTGACTTTGCTTTTGCTTTGCTTGTGTGTGTGTGTATGTATATGAGAAAAAATACATATGCCAATCAAGTTTTTAATATGTATTATAGGGAAAAAAACCATATTCCAATCAAGTTAAAATGCAATGTAGCTAGCTCTATACTGGAGAAGTTTGAATGAGAAATGTGGATGCATCTGGTGTAGAGAAAAATGACTAAGACTACAAAGAGATGGATTTTAAATTAATAGACTCTTTAGCATATAACTTGGCAACTGCTTGGATAGTGCATGTCTGTTAGTTATACCGTAATATGGTTTTAGACACTATTTCTTTATATTACTTTTACCTGTCTTACTGGAAGTCACTAAAGTGTTCTGTTCATTAATTCAACAAATATTTATTGAGTAAATACTACATGCCTGGTACTAGTCAAGGAATACAGTAGTGAGCAAAATAAAGACCTCATCCTCATAAAGCTTAGATTTTAGTTTCATGCAAGGAAACCTCAAGCTAGAAGTTGGTAGAGTTTATTCTTCTGATGTGGTAAATTTTTGGACGGTGTCCCTTGACCATCTTTTCTGACATATCTGTCACCAAGGAGCACTGAGCCTCATGTGAAATGTTAAGACTAGATAAAAGGGAGGGTCTGAGAAAACCTACCTCTTCTACCCTTTTATACTATTCATTCTCTGATGGAAAGCTCTGTGTTTGAGTCATCTTTGTATCACTCTATGGCCTGACTAGTTTTGCACAGTATAGGCAAATACATTCTTAGACAAATACAGATAAAATGATCATTTGTGGTAGTTTAGAAAAAAAAAAGAAACAGAAAAAAATTCTCATTATTAAAATGGGTAAGAAAGGCTACAGAGATGGGGCTTCTGGCTTTTTTTTTTTTTGTGGTTTGATAAATACACACAAAAAAATTCTGGAAGAAAACAGACTTTATGTAAAGGTTCACATATGAATTGAATTATTTGGATCCATAATCCAGTTTTCTTATTTTGAGAAGTAGTGAACTCACCACCACCAACAAAAAATATAATTCAATTTGCTTAAAAAAAAAGACTTCCATATTACTTTGCAGGAGCATATTTACTGTATAATTCAGGCACACCTGCTTATTTCCCAGTTCACACACTTGAATCTTTTTTCAGAGCTGACAGGTTTTACTAAAGTTATGAGAGGAAACAAAAATTACAAATAATAAACATTTGCTATCAAATTGCTTTCTAACTGTATTAATTTTCATTATCATCATATTTAGTGGCTATGTTTGAAAATAGAACTGCCCTGAATAGGGAAAACAAGACTAATTGGGGTTAGGTAGAGTATTTTCCTGTTGTTTCCAAAGCCTCTTCAAGCAATCCTATTTGAACATACTCCAAGTTTATTTTTCTTCCAATTACAAGTGAAAAAAAGCCAGGGTTTTTATACAGAAATATGCACGAAACATCTTACAAAATATGGCAGACAGTGGTTAATTGGTGACTTCTGATTGCAACATAGACATTTGCAATGTTTAACTGTCTGAAAAGATCATATAGGGTAATCTGTGTAATTATATTAACTTTTATATGGTTAACAAAATTTAAAATCAGTTCTGACTCATGGGAAAACCAATAAATTAACTGAGAAGGAGGACCTCTTAAATCCCTAAGTTATATTTAAAAGTTAAAACTCAAACTGTCAAAGGGAGGTATAAGAACCTAGAGTCCTGAACATCTCATGTTAAAAATGTGGATGAATTTAATATTTTTTATCAAAACTTTTTTGGTAAAAGAATGTTTTTTTTACCAAATATATTTCTGTAGTATGAATCAGGACCACAGTCAATTAATAACAACAACACATTTTTTTCTTCTGAAGTTTTTATGAATTTCAGAATTTTCTGAAATGTCTGAAATTTTCTCCTGAAATTTCTCCTGAACTTTTACTCAGGAGAGCACCATAGAGTTCTTTATGATAAAGAAAACACAGAAGAGATTAATATCATCACCCTGAACACAATAGAGCATCTGAGCAGCATCAATGTTATTCATTCTGAATAGAATGGAGCACCTTTGTCTACAATATGAGTTTTAATCCCTTTAGCCTTGTATAAAAGTCTTTTATGATCTAACACCAGAAACTGACATACTAACATTCAAGTAAAGCTACAAATGCGATGAGTCACAAATAACCCATATATAACTTTACTGTAATTCCTGGTACTAAAAGAAACATAACATTGCCTGCTATTCTTCCTTTATAATAGAAATAGACTGTCCTACTCAACAGAAATTAAAAAATACTATTTGAATGTTTTTGTTGAGTCTTTTATTATGTTCCCGAGAAAGAACATCATATAAATCCTATCACTAAGTTTATGAAGTGAAGATAAGACTGATGCAATGCAATTTTAATAAATATTTTGTTTTTAATTTAGAAATAATTATTTTATGATTCTAATTTTATTAAATTCTGTGATTAAGAGGAATATCACCAGTTAATAAGTTCATAATTCTCTCTTCCTAAAGGATTAATTACTGAAAAATAATAAGGGAGAGGAGTTACAATGGCAGAAGAATAGGGGATCCTAATATTCTCTGGTCTCTGGAATACAGCTAGATAGTTATCAAATTATATTGAACACCTACAAAATCAATTAGAGATTTGTGAAAAGAAATGCTTCAATTCTACAGATAGAAAAGTGACTACTTTTTGGAAGGTAGGAGGTGTGGAGATTTAATCTTGGGGCAGTATATAAGAGGATATGGTGGAGGGAAGGGAGCCTGATTAAGGAGGCTACTGCAAAGTAT